GACTTGTTGTAACCTCTAAGCACTAACCCTAACCCTTTCTTGTTCTGTAGAAAATTGGGATCTAAATAAAGAATAAAGAAGGAACAAATCCAAGACATCTACTGAAAAAATACTACTGCTTACATTAAGTATTGTTTACATTAGTGTTTTATATTGCATTAAAAATAGAACAGGGTATTGTATTTCAAATTATGATCAGCTCAAATACACAAAATGCTGTTTATTTTTTTAACCTCTAACCCCTTCTAATATATATGTGACTTTACCTGTAGATTTTATGGTCAGAAAGTTATTGGTGGGCCTTTAAAAACTAGCCTGTCCCTAATTAGTGCTTATAAAGTGTGACAAAGATAGACTTATTAGTTTCTGTTGCACTTGCTGCAGGAATTAGGCTATACTGTGGTTGAAAAGTGGGTTAACTCATCCCCAGTCTGCCCATACTACTTCTTGCCCTGCTTTTTTGACAGGTTGCATTGACAGACAGTGTGGCTCAGGTCGGTACTGTGCTGTGCCAGGTGGTGACGCAGGAAGGTAAGATGCTGGCAGAGAATGGTGGCGAGGAACCCATCAGGTGGTAAGTAAAACTGGCATTGCCCTGTATAATCCCGGCTCACTATTTGGCAGACATACAGAGTCCATCTTAGTATTTGCTGCATTCTGTAACACAGACATACTGTATTCACGCCCTAAGAGACAAACAAAACTGTCTGTCTATGTATGTATCTTTAAATGTGTGCACTACATAACAAATATACTGTGTGTGTTTATAGAAACCCACCAATCTTTGAGTGTAATTAATTTGACTGAATTTTTTTTTATATTTTCTTTTATTTAGCCTGTGAAGGTATGAAACTGGCTCAAAAGCATATCATTATTTTTCAGAAAAACAACAACTTTCATCTCTTAAAGGTCCAGAGTGTAACATTTAGGAGGATCTATAGGCAGAAATGGAATACAATATAAATATATATAAATATGTTTTCATTATAATCACCTGAAAAGAAGAATAGTTGTATTTTTGTTAAGTTAGAATGAGATGTTTTTATGCCACTGTGCAAACAGTATTTATTATTATTATACTAATATAATATACCAAGATATATGTTTTATTCATATGCTAATATGAATAAACATAACATTAATAAATATTAACATTTCATTTGTAAATCGCTTTGTACAAAAGCATCTGCCAAATGAATAATGTAGCTAATATCACTGTATCAATACTTGGTTTTCCAGCCTCGGCCTAGACTTTGCAGACTTTAGAGGTATGCATCATATCTAAAAAAAAAAAAACTCTCTTTGGTATTTTTTCAGTTTGAAAAGTTTGAGCACATTTTAGGTCAGTGAAGATGAGTATAAACTTCATTGTTTCCATGCCCTGCATACATTAGCAGAACAATAGAGAGCATTAGGACCCTGAGGCGAGGGAGGGCTTCCCTCTCTCTCTCATTATCCATTGATTTGACAGCTTGCGTTGCCGACCAGTCACACAGAGGATGTGAAGTGGAGAAGGAGGCGGCTTGCGGTGTCTGGTGCGGTCCGCTCAAGTTTTCTAAAAAAAAAAAATAATAATCTTCGTTGTTTGCAAGCCAGCTGCAGGTCCACTGCGATGTCTGTCAAACACAACTGCTCCTTATTCGACACATTCTCAGCTGGATAATCCCGAGCTGGCGTTTGGATCAGGGTTCTGCTCCTGTTGTGTTTGTGTAGGTAGACAAATCAATTCATCGGATCAGTGAGGACCGGGTTCAGTTTCTGTGGACTTGAAGACTATTTCTTGACTTGTTTCCTTTTTTGGGAGCTGTAAGGAGCAGCCGGTGCAGCAAGTAGTCTCACTGTGGACTGGAAGTGGAGACAGGACACACACACACACACACACACACACACGTGTTATCCTCCTTCCTTCCTCCGGCTGCGGACGCATCGACCCCCCGGCGCTCTCTGGATAAAAGTAGCTTTTTTCTGTTTGGGGATTTGGTTTAAAACAGAGAGTCTACAGTAGAAAGAGGCAGACAATATGTCGCTAAGCAGAAGTATTGAATTTGAACACTTTGAGGAGCGGGAGAAGCCGCACCGGATACCGAGGACCAACTCTGGCTCCGGGTCCCAGTCAGGTTCCAGAGGCAACGGTCTGGTCCCCAGCCCTGCGCACAGTGCGCACTGTAGTTTCTACCGCACACGCACTCTCCAGTCCCTCACGTCCGAGAAAAAAGCCCGGAAAATGCGGTTTTATCGCAATGGAGACAAATATTTTAAGGGTATGGTGTATGCGGTGTCTAACGACCGGTTCCGGTCTCTGGATGCTCTGCTCATGGAGCTCACACGGTCCCTGTCGGACAATGTCAACCTTCCTCAAGGAGTACGGACGTTATACGCGTTGGATGGAGGCAGGAAGATCACCAGTCTGGATGAGTTAGTAGAGGGTAAGGGTGATGAAGAATGCAGCAACCACCTCATATGACCACAAACCATGAGAGGCTTAATACTTGGTTTTATTGATGATAGATAATGTGCATTGGTTCAGATATGCAATTGATTTTTATAAAAGCTAGATTTTGCCTTGAGCATTGGTTAAATGGACTATGTAAATATACATTACTATAGCCTAAGGCGAGTTATAACAGAAGTTTAAAAGGTCACTCAGAACAAATTTACATTTCAAGGGCTGGCACTTTGATGCTGTCTACTTTGTGTAGCAATCAGGCAAGTTCTGTCCGCCAGACAAAAGCTCACTTTGACATCAGTGCAGAGATCTACTCTCCTTAAATCTATCCATTTACCCCTGAAGAACAGTTACAGTATAATGGATGCAATGCACGGCTTCCCTGGCATCATTCACATCATTTGCATCATTGACATAACTCTTCTGACATGTTTGACCCAGTGCTGTGCAGGCAGACAGTGCAGCTTCAGTTCCACGCAGGCTTCTGCTAATGTGCATCCGTGTCCATTGATCTATCTCTTTCACTTGCTCCCCTCTTTAGTATGTATTTGCGAGCTGACTTTGTGTGGGCTTAAACGTGCCTTGTGTATCTCTTAATGCAGCCCTGCGTGGCAATGAATGTGTGATGAGTGTGTTGTTGCAGCGGCTCCATTTGTGGTCTATTGGCTGTTAAAGTCTTTTAAAAATGATCTCACCCTTGGGGCTTGAAAGATGGAAGTTTCCCTCCCCCATCCTGTATCTGTTTATTGCTTGCAGTATAGGGGGGGAATAATGGGTTTAAATGAATGTAATAAAAGTTTGGAAACTAAGATGAAAAAGTCATTTATAAAGTAAAAGTTGAATTTGAAAAGTAATAACCGCTGGTGAATGTCTCCTGCAGTCACAGCTATATAATTAATTTAGTCATGTTAGGAGTCTCTAAACAGCTTGCTGGAAGTATTAGCATACAGGTTAACTATACTATAAAAAAGTTTTACTCTTATCAAAGGCAGTCGCACACTGCAGACACAAATGGGGCACAGCCCTCTCCTCCCCTTTTACTTTCCTGCAGTGTTATTCGCTCCGCAGGGACAGTGACCTCTCGGTAATAAGTTAATCTTCATGTTCAGCCCTGGTGTGTGTCTGTCTGTGCTGTGACCTGCCTGCAATCCTCTTTTAACACGAGAGGTTACTGCTCTGCCACACACACTCAGGATCCACTAAACTCTTACTGCAATCATTATTCTCATATACTGGTCTATTTTCATCTCACATCCTCCTAAAACTTTAGACTCTGTGGTACACTCATTTCCTATGCCCCATCCCCTGAGTGACCGGGGAAGATTTAGGCCAGCGCCTGATCTGAATTCTGTAGCATCACTAGTTTGGCAAGTTGAGCTGGGGTTGTTTTGGTGCATTGGATCTGGTAGAGAGCACTCTGCCTCTGCAACTCTGCATTCAGATGTACAGGACATTGTTGCAAAATGAGGATTATGGGCATACATCACAGGCTGTGTCCAGAATCATTATACCCCATGTTCTGTCTAGCAATTCAGATTGTTTTTCTGAATCTAGGTTTTGAGATGTCTGCAGTTGATGCAATGTTAATGCCAAATCCTAGTTATTGTAATCACCAGTTTTTGACTTATAAACAATGTTCACATCAACATCCAAGTCGTGGAAAACTGACTTTTATGCTTCAGTGTGTCTGACATGGCACATCATGCGAAAGTTCTTGAAACCCAAATAAACTGAGAGGTCTCACATCAGCCAGTCCATCATTCAGGGTGATTAAAACCAAATTTAATGGATACTAATAATACTTTTAACCGTCACACTACCAACTCTGCAATCACTCAAGCGTCTTGAGTTATCTGATGACATGAACTCCTAAGCAAGTCATAAATATGAGATTTTTCCCCCCATCTCTACCATCCATCTCATGTGAGCAGAAAGGTGACCTAAATTTCCCTTCATGGTGCTTAAAGCATGTGGAAGTTACCTTTTTCAAACCCTCAGCAACAACAATGACATCAGTGTCCTATTTGTTTTGGACAATTCGCTGAACTCACTGTGAAGTTTTTTTGGTTTTTTTTACCTTAATTACAAAATACTTCTCAAAAACGGTTTGTGGATTATCCTGAGTAACCAGGACATTGACTCTGTAAGGTCACATTCATATTGAGTTTTCAAGGTGCGAATTTGATGATTTTTTTGTAATACTGTGAACGCCTCATTCGAATTGCCATTTAATCCAATTGTATTGTGGTAGTGACAGATGTCTCAGAGGCAGATATCTAAAGACCTAAGCATAAAAATAAACAAACTATTTGCATGCCTTCATAGTATGAGGGGTAAGTGATTGGGGTAAACTCAGATGTACTGCAGGTGGGCCAAGCACCACTGTACTATCCTTGTTTACTCACCCATCTAATGGACAGAGTGAGGGAACATTACTGCACAGCTCAGCAGTCTGCCTCCATTGATTGAGGCCTGCTGAGGCTCTTTTGTGTGGAAACCCAATAAGCACCATTCACATATGTGCCCCTTATCGCTGGATGGGATTACTGAGCTAAGTTATAGGGTTTTTCCATAGTGGGGGAGGTATTTGCCATGCCATGAACGGCTGTGAGTTGCGACTCTTCTTCCACTGCACAACACTGTAAAGTTATTTACCTTGATGAGCCCCTAAAAGTGTAGAATATGACCATATCTGGTTGATTAGGCCTGATTTTGTTAGAATAGCACCAATAACAAAGCTTTTAATGTAAGGTTCAGTTGGCATAAGGCTGATATCGAAAAGTACAAACAGGAACACAGGAGTGAAGCTAAACTCTAAACCACAGAATCTACAAAAGTACAGAGAGGAAAATGCAGAGAAACTTTTAAACACTAAAGTGGACTGACCCAAGCCTGCGGAAAAATCCTATTGAACTTATGTGCTTGTGAAAACTATGGAAAGAAGTAGCAGATTCTTAACTGGGTTTAGAAAGAGCTTTGTAGTTTGCTGTGGGGGTAAAAAACATGCTGATAAAGGAATTCTAGTTGGGACAATAGCAAGTGTGCAAGACAAGCGGTTTATTACCACCAACTGGTAAAATTAAGTTTTTCTACACTGTATCTTACATTTTCCATAATTCAGCCTTAGTATATCATTTTGTTTCACCCTCTTTGCCTGGTAAAACAAACCTCACAAGCTCCATGCCCCCAGTTTGTTATGCAGGCTTTCTGTTATACACATTTAATCTCCAAGCCTATGCCAAGATAACCCTGATTATATCTCAGACTTGAAAAAGCTCCCTCTAGAGCACTCAGACTATAGTATATGTAGTATTGTTCTTAGTGCTGCCACTAATGGCCATAAGCTAAATGGCTATTGTCCCCTATATCAATATTGTAATATAGCCTCCAAGGCTAGCTGACAGTTGAACTCTTGAGGCTGAATTAGATGTCAACTTTTAAAATGAAAATACTCACCAGGAAGGTCACAAAGTCCCATTTTCATTGTCTTTATAAAATCACAGTTTTTATTTAATTGTGCCAATCAATTGAATTGAACCAAGATATGTTATTGTTGCTTGGAGAATTTCCTTTTTTACATTTTTATTTAAATTATTTTTGATGAATAAATCACAGTTTTAGGAGCTACTTAGTCATGAATATTTTTAAATGATTTAATTGGTTGCGGCTTATGGCTTTAGGCTAACACGCTGTATCATGAATGTACCATCAAACAATTTCAAATTACCCCACCTACAGTATGGGGTATGTATGAAACCCATAGTGTGCTGGCCTTGCTGGTCCAATTCCTTTTACTACAGTGGTGAATATGTATTATTTCAGCAAAACAGATGACCATACATGCTGGGAATATCCTTAAATCATGGGGTTACTTCACTATAAGTTTTATATTGCATTAAAATTATTATTTATGATTTACTGCCATTGCTTGGTTTTTGATTGCTGACAGCTGTGAGACCACTGCAGTAAAAGCTGCCGGACTGGTTAGACAGCTCTGTTAAGGTTGACCTCATCTGTTGTCCACATGAGGACAGCAGCCATTGGTGGGTGGCTGGTGCTCCCCTCACACCACAGAGTGATGTTGCACCTGAGATCTCTGCACCTCAGGGAATAGACTTGTCACCAGTCACCATCTGAGGGCATTTCAGTATTCTGCCCCCGGATGGATGACGGCCCCAGTTATATTTTGTTTTAGTTTTCAACCATATCTCAGTCCCCCCAGCTGTGGCCCAGCCTTTTAATTAGCCTTTGGTTAATTGCAGGCTTAATAAAACCAGGTATCATGGGACACAGTCTCATATGATCTTCTTACACTGCAGCTCGATTCGTTTGTCTTGACACACATCAGATAAAAGATTTTATTCTCAGTCAGTAAAATTAACTATTTACCATAAGCTATTTTCCCTGTAAATATCCTCACTGAACGAAGTAAATTTGCTATAACAGAATTAGAATTTACAGTATGTAAAGTATATCATTTGTCTTTGATCTGTTTACCACAAGTTGATTCTGAGAGATGCTCATGTGTTTGTGGACACTTAAATACTTTTGTGATGAATGTAGCATGAGAAGAAAGTATGTGTCACTTTCTCTCTCTTACTTAGCATTGAGTTTTGAACATCCAGCCTTCACAACACAGACATTCTTGCTGTGGTTTTCATTTACCGGCCAAGCCCCTGTGCTTGTCACATGACTTTGTTCTTAAGGGGAAACATTTGCGTGTTAACTGTTCGAATGGAATGCTGGCAGATAAAACAAAATGCTTTGCTTTGGAGGAAGTCCAATGCAGCAGCTCAACAGCTGAAAGGGAGAGAGGACAGTGTTACACTGGCCTGGCCTTTCAATGTGCCTTTTTGTTTCAACTGAAGAATGTTAACTCTTTGTTGTTCTGTTTCGCCTTATGTGGACGCAGTAGTTTATGGTGCATTCTATACGTGTGAGGTGAATAATGATGTAGCATGTGTTTTAATTGAAATACATTTTTCAGCATTTCTCTGATGATGATGAAGAGATCCATGTTTTCAATGTCAATTTTTCCACCTTATTTCTATCTCCAGGCGAGAGTTACGTGTGTGCCTCGAATGAGCCCTTCCGGCGTGTGGACTACACCAAGAACGTCAACCCCAACTGGTCAGTGGGCAGCAAGACCGGCACATCACGCTCCCTATCCTCTCTCATCCCACTGAAGAATGAGCTGCAACGTGAGTCCAAGGAATTCATCAAACCCAAGCTAGTCACCGTCATCCGCAGCGGTGTCAAACCCCGCAAGGCGGTTCGGATACTGCTCAATAAGAAGACGGCGCACTCCTTCGAGCAGGTGCTCACTGACATCACAGATGCAATCAAGTTGGACTCTGGAGCTGTGAGGAGACTGTACACTTTAGAGGGCAAGCAGGTAAGTCTCTTCATGATGTGTGCTTGTTTTTCAATTAAAGGAACAAGCAAACCTCTTGACAACATCCACACACTCACTGACTAAGATTACATAACATGACAGTTGGAGGGAGTTAACTGTATTGTTTTCAGTGAGATGAGACTGGAGGATATGCATATGAAAACCAGATGGAACTGCAAGGCTGAGCTTTTTAGCCAAAGGTTTTATCTCCAAAAAACGCAGTGATTTATAGGCTTCAGCTGTGTCAGCAGTCTAGGTAATTACACCCCTTTTAATCATCCATACATAATTACACGCCACAGTTATTTCAACAAGGCACTAATGAATACACTTTACAGTTCAGGCCTTTTGCCATATCCATCAGTATAGTTTCCTCCCTGCCTATTAAGCCATATGAGACTGTTTTTGCTATAATCCTATCCATCTGGGATACATATATAGTAATGTTTCCTTCTGAAAATCTCATTGAGGGTCCCTGGTGTTATGAGATGAGATGAGCGTGAGCACATGGTGCCCCTAATCAAAAAGATTTATTTGACATTGTCTCATCTGGTAGAGGTCTTAGATAATGATTATTAATCAGATTGTTTTAACTGTTTTAAATGGGTAAAGTGACAAAGAGTGATAAAGAAATGGGATTTTTTTTTTTAAATCACAAAAAACTATTAAATAAGTTCTGTGAAGTTAGTGTTTAAAGGTTTGACGAAAGCTTCAATGCAAAAGCTTGGTTACCTTACATCCTATACCTTTGGGAGTGTTGAGGGCTTGTGTGAGGCTGTGTAAGGGCAGAAATGCAACTGATGTTTGCATCATATCTTTGGCTTAAACTCAATCATATTTACCTAAAAGGTAACCCTAAATAGGTTAGTGCAGAGAAAAGTAAACTGATGTGATTCTCACCTGTTTTAAAAGTTAAACCAAAGACATTAAAGACACCCCAGACTGATGACAGACGAAAGATTTAAGGTTGTGTAAATATCTGGAAAGAACATGAAATACAAACATGACATGAATGACTTTGTCTATATTAGTAAATAATAAAAATTGATTTAAAAAAGTTTGGATCTTTTGTTCAAATGAAAGAAAAATGATGGTACCATTAAAAGCTTAAGTCAAAATAATTGCTTCCATATTTCAGGCATCTGGCCTCAAGTAACCTTAAGTGACTTCTGATTTGTTTCACTTTAGATGCAGCTAACTGTGACATAATTCACATCATTGAAACATTTCTTGAGACATGCTGTTTTATTCAGTGGATTTCGGGCAATTTGTCTATTTTCTGTCAGTGTAGCAGTGAAAGCACATGGTTATGATGTAAACTAATGTCAGAGGACATAAATGGAAACCAACTATATATATTGTTTATATTGATAAGAAAGATAAATAAAGAAAGAGCGAGAGTAATAAAGAAAAATTGCTGCATCCCCAATAAGGCGACACATTCAAAATGCAGCCATTGTCTAAAAGATTGCACTAAAATGAAACTCGTATGTGTTTTGGTTACTTATGTGGTTTTTATGAGGGCAGACTCTTTGCTATGCCTTGCTCCAAACACAGCTGTAATTGCACAAACAACGTTGTTTATTGATAAAATAAAGAAAAAGGCCAGAAAGAACTTAGTCGATACTGTCAGAATTGTTCCCAAGTCAAATATAGTTTCATTTTAAAAACTGCTGTGTATTTTATTTTACTCAACAATTCCACAGATAGTAGATTGATTATTGATAAAATACCCTAATTACATAACTCATGAACGGTTTTCTGAGTTATAGTTACAGTCGACATGAGGTCTGATAACCAAACCAGCTGATGTTCGCTTCCTGTGAGCCTACGGGAGTCTTTCTAGGCTGGACAGTCCAGACAAATGACTCATGAGAATGGTGATAACCTCTGACAGAGCCAGCCCAGCATCCTTTCTGTCAAGCCAGCACTCTACAGGGGCACAGTTTCGAATGACGTGAGGATTATAAAACAGTACGCAGTATAACAGCTTATATATTTACATCTTCTTCTTAACTTAATGTTTCCTGTGTCAGATGGTTTGAACTTCATGTCTGCTAATCAGTTTAATCTATTTGGCGATTTCTATCAAGGAATACGTTTTTATTTTTGTTTATAATAAACATGGGAAGACATAACTTTACACACTTTAGATGATAAATAATGTCAGGGATATGTTAAAAAAACATGACAGTACAATCAAATATTGGCTAATAAATTCAGTGTTCACAGCTGCATACATAAATACTTCTTGCAAGAATCCTGTTAGATTCTCCACTGTGATGACCTCAGTCTCATATCTGTAACATAAGCCTTGACGTGTCTCTATTTCCATCTCTTAGTAGATTCCAAGTAGATCAGCCATACAGACCAGCTGTTTTTTCCAGAAATTCTCTCTCCCATTGCCATGAGGAATGTTGCATTAGACTTTATGGGGTACATCTAAACACAGTAACTTTTGTTCTTGTGACAAATTTCTTATGTTCATTCTGTCTTACTAGCTATTCAGTTTTTATCTATGTATGAGAGTTGACAGTTTGACTAATAGTTTGAAGTGAAAAGTGGCTGCAATATAATCAAACAGATTGAGAGGGAGCACCCTTCCTTTAAGCTCCTTTGGGATTTTTTTTCAGCCAAGCAGCTACAGTCTGCCAGATTCTGGCAGTCTGTAAAAGGTTGTCATATTAAAAAACTTTTTTGTAGTGGTGAAACCAAACTGAGAGATCCAGATTTGTTATGACGGAGTGTCTTTAAGTGGAGTTTTACTTTGAACCTTTCCATCCACACCCTCCTTCAACCTTGAACCCCTGTATCACACCAACCATAACCCTGGTTGGTGTGATATCAGAATAATGAATGAATGAATGAATGAATGAATGAAAGAAGAAAAAAAAAGTTTTGTGCTGGTACATGGGGTGGGTTGTGGCTCAGGTGGTACAGCGGGTCGCTGGTTTGATTCTTGGCTCTCCTGTCCAATCACAATATTATTCACCATGACTTACTCTTTTAGCTTTGCCTGCAGTGTGATTGTAAATGCCAACCAACATAATGGCAACATTAATGGTACAATGAATTCACAGAGTAATTTCTTTCTAGCTATTTGTATTTTAAATTATAAATGTGTCCTTTTTTTGTTGTGATTTATGACATGTACCAGTCTATTGGGAATACATTACAGATGCCACATTACATATGTCATGCTGACAGAATGTGTCATTTAGCTTCCTTAAATATTCACCACAGAGTTTTTAATGATAAACACAGTTACAGCAGTCTTTTTTTTAGCTTACTTTGATAGATTATTCATTCTCTTTCTGCCGGTGCTGAAATTCATCCATCCCTGTAAAGTTCTTCACCATCAGATAAATGCTAAAAAAGACCCAAAGGAGTTTCTTATTTAACTGGGCTGTATTGCCTGTCCTACATTGGTGTCACTGAATGCGTTACTCCTCTTCAAAAATTCTATATAATTTTCGAGCAAACAACTTCATCATAGGTGAGAATATTCTTTTAGGCATCTGTTAGTAATAACCTAACAACATTTGGTGTTTCAATCCCATCTGCCAGTGCAACAGCACTATAGCAGCAGCAGCAGCAGCCGCCAGACATTCGAGAGACAGCAAGTGTGTTCTTGCTATGTTGTCTGATTCACTGCTTAGAAAAGGACTGCTTGCTGGTTGCTTTAGACTTATCTTACTCTCTTGGCTCTCTTCAGCACTGAATTGAATTAAGAGTCTATTGCAGAGGTTTAACCCATTAAGCCTGTAACCTGATCCTGAGAACAGAGCTAGACACCTGACAATATCCTGTTCATTTCAGTTTGCATGTCAAAGTCAGTAGGTGCTTTCTTCAATAAGGGCTGAAGCATTAAAAAAAATCCAGTCTAAAATAAATTGTTATATCTGACAGCTTAATCTTGATTTATAAATACTGACTGAGAATTGAATGGAAAAGCATTAGCTTTAATCTTTTCACTTTCTCTTGTCCTCTGCCCCCCTCTGCTTGAAGAGCAGGTTCTGCTCTCCCAGACCAAACGTGTCTCAATAATCTGACAGCTTGATTTGTTTGGAGCCCTCTGTCATGCAATCTTTCTAACTTGATAAGCCTCTTTTCACATCCTGAGTGGTGCCATACTGATGGCTAGACAAACTAAAGGCTTTTTCAATGACATGCACCTTAAACCACAAATGTGTGTCCTTATACATTGAATGGGGCCATTTATGCGAGGGGAAAAAAATGAATACCTTGGCTGTATTAATGGAGGACATTTCCTAATGCCAGTTTCTATTAAAAGAACACTGACATTTTGGGAAGTGCGTTTACCTTTAAATCATCAATTCAGACCAGAAGATCAATATCAATTTTAGGTTCCAGAGTATAATTGGCATACAGCGCACTAGGCTGGAGGCGAGGGAGAGTCATTATCAGAAGTGGGGGAAAAAATGCTTGTTCTGCAACTCCATGTTGTCAGCGTATTAGAAAATCACCTTACATCAATATGGAACAAGGCATACAAAACCAAATACTGTACATTATTCTGCAGTGACAGCTAAACTGTTGAGTTATACTATAGTGTGTGGTGTAAGTTGTAACCATCAAGCTTTTATTTGCACAATTTTTTAGAAACATCACATTATCGATAGGGGGCTGGCTTTGATGTCTGATCCCTCCTCAACTGTCATCATTCTTTCTGTATGTAGTTCCAAATTCATTTGGTACACCTAATAAAACTAATAGCCTTTAATACAACAGCCCTGCAATAAATCTTACCTTCACAAAGACTATAATGTTCAGTTTTTGTTGAAACTGCATTAAAGACATGTTGATTTAATTGTCTTATAATTTTGGAAACTAAGTTTGTGTTGCTGTTTAATGTAATAACGTAATGTTTTACGTTATACTGAAAGCTGTTTCTACTATTTGTCCACCTCATTTACAGTAAAGGGTAGACTGCTAAACTGTTGACTGAGTGGACATTGCTGCAAGTAGGTTTTTACATC